TATGTTTAGAGCCCTGGAAGGGTTTGCTTTCTCTTGCCTTCACATTGTTGCTCCTTGGCTTTCAGATTGGCACAAGACTTGTCAAATGTGAAGCAAAGGTTCCAGACAGCAGAGTTGCTGGAAGGCACTGATGTCAACTTGTCTATCAGGTTTACATTCTGACATGGAGTCTCTCTGATGGTCTTGCAGTTCACAAGCATCGCCAACAACGAATCCAACCAACACAGGTTGTCCTCATTTTTCCAGAAGAGATGAGGTTGCACAGGAACCAGCTCTGATGATTCCACATCTACTTCAAAGATCTCTTCAACCTCATCTTGAGTACTAGATACACAATCATCCTTCTTGTCACACAAACCTAAATCCTCATGGGTGGCAGCAGCAGGTAGATCTTCAGGATGTTGTTCCTCAGTGCCATTAATAGAGTCAGTCTTTCCAAGAATTGATTGTTCATCAGTAAACATTTGTGTTTTAACAGTGTCATCTGGAAGGGTGCCATCACTGACATCAGCACCACATGGCTCAGGCACAGCAGACAAAACGTCCAGTTTCTCCTCTCTGCATCGCTTTGAAGGGGAGGATGCTTCATCCACATCGGACAGGGAAGAAATGCTCCTCTTGCATCCATCTTTAGACAAACTAGCACGCACATCTTCCAGAGATCTACTAACCAATGGGTATAGGCACTGCAAAGCCACAGAAAAACACCCCACGGATGTTAATGACCATCTCACTGGCCAATCACTCTTCTTTAAAATGAGTCATAAGCATTTAATACAATGAGAAATATCATATTACCAATATTAAAAGCTTAAAAAACAACTGCGTGAATTTCACAAACATGTTCAGCTTGTATCTCACCCCAAAATCTAAAGGACGAACTATAATTTGCAGTACAAAAATAAAAATTCATTTTAGGATAATTAATATTTTTTTTGCAAACATTTGCAACTTCCTCCCAAAAAAGATCATTAATGTAACAGTCACATTAGTTTAATGATAAATTAAGAACAGTTCCCCTTAAATCTCTCACTGTGAAGCAAATTTTTTACTGTAATGTGCACAGGCATTTTACTTTTGATTTTTTGATTCATGTGATTTTTAATGGTGATTCTAATTAGACACTCATTAATTATTATTATTATTTTTTTTACCAAAACGAAGCCTTATTTCTTTATACAAGAAAGTGTTTTTTTTTGTGTGTGTAATTCACACAATCTCCAAAAGCAATTCTTACTGGATTTATTACTTTATTGTATCTCTTCTTTCTAAACTAATATCAGCATAAATAAAAATAGGTAAAAAAAAAAAAACACTACCTTGCTGTGAAAATACAATTTCTTTCTTTTAGTTAGTTTTTTTTCCCTCCAAATGATTGTTTTTCACTATGCAAAAACTATTCATGGGCCCAAAACTAGGCCATACTTTCTTTATGCAATACAAAAATTAGTTAGTTTTAGAGTAAAATGACCCAGATGTATTAGTGACTGGTTTTCATTCATTCAATTATTCACTTGTGTCAGCATTTCCTGATAAGCAACAAAAAACATCCTCACCACTGGATTTGTACAGAGCATAACACTCTCCTCCAAGTTGACAGCATAAAAGCGGAGGGCATTTTTCTGACCTTTTGACAAGCACCAAGGACAGTTCCCTGGTGTGGCATTTCTGTCTTCACACTATAAACACACAAAAAACATGTGAGAAATCATGATCACTCAACAACAGAAAATACAAGACCCATAACACAATTATAAACAATTAGTGTACAACTTAAGTGCTTTTATGAGTATTCCTTCGCCTTTT